ACCATGGTTTGAGTCCCCGACCTGGCGGCTTGCTTTCTCACTTTTTTTCTCTCTCTCACTCTGTCCCTCTCTGGTCAAATTGAAATAAACAAATTAATTAATTAATTAATTAATTAATTCTTTATATATATATGTATTGATTTTTTTATGAAATATATATGTGATAAAAATTTCTCCCACCCCCTCTTTTCATCCTCAGTATTTTTTCCCAAAAGAAAACAACTTCTAAACAACCAAAACAACTTCTAAAAATGTATTGTGTGTATCAGCATTTTATTTATATGTGTGTATATACATAAATATTAATGTGTATATATATATATAAATAAATAAATAAATGAAAATAAAAAAATATATATATATTAATTGTCAGAGGGCATGTGGGCTTGCTAGAGAGACAGATAGGGAGATGGAGAAAGCACTCCCCAAGTGGGGCATGTTCACACTGCAATCCCTTCTCCTCCATTCTTCCATCCTGTCAGGATTTCAGACATGCATACACATGTGTTTAACATGTTCTTAAGTTGCCAGAACTGGGATTCAAACTGTGGTCAGCCACATGGGATCCACTTCCCTAAACCACTAAGCAATGAGGTCAACCTGATAAGTGGTTTCTTATTTACACGAAAGAGGGGAGCGTAGAACATGGAGAACCTTAAACACCAAAGTAAGAATCTTGCATTGTAATCATGTAGACATCATGAAGCCATGAAAGTTGTTGGTTTTAAATAAAATAGGGTGTGTGCCCTTGCAAATGCACCTGTTCACTTGGGGAATGGTCATGCTGCAACCCCTTCTCCTCCATTTCTCCATCTTTTCAGGATTTTGGACATGCATGCACATGTGCCAGGCTTGTTTCTCAAGCCACTGGGTATGGAACTCAAACTACATGATCAACTGTATGGGATAAACTACCTTAATCACTGGGCCATGGAGCCAGCCCTGTGAAAGTATTTTAAACGGGAAAATATGAAAGTCAATTTCTAAGATTATCATCAGACTTTTAATTTTTTTTGGGAGAAATTTTTCTATAGGGAGCATGCATTCGCTGGAGAGACAGAGAGAGGCAGAGAAACAGAAAAACAAGAAATCACCCACCAGGGGGATGGCCATGCCACAATCCCTTCTGCTCCATTCTTCTCTTGGGATCTTGGGCACACATACACATGCACCTGGCATGAGGTTTAAGCTGCTAGGTCTGTGACTCGAACCACGGTTGACTATGTAGGAGTCCTGCAATGTAACCATTATGCCATCTGCTAGTCCCTGTCACCAGACTTTTTAAAAAATCTTTCTTATTTCTTCCATGAGCAAGAAAGAGATGGTATTCCCACAGGGGTTGAATACTGCAATCCACTCCCAACCTCAGCCAGCCCAGGATCACAGGTACATGTGTGCCTGGTGTATTCAAGGAGGTCTCCAGTGTGAACCTGGAACCTTCCCATGTGGGTCAGTGTTGTAGAGCATCACGTTTTACTACTGTACCACTGTCTTGTCCCCTCATTCAGACTTTTAAAGAGGTTATATTCCTAGTATGTAGTACCAGGTGCTCCAGAACTATTTATTGAATGAGTAAACTTTTAAAAACATATTGAATAGCAGGGTATTCAAGTTAAGGTACCAGCCTATTTCTTTAATGAACACAAGCACAGAGTACTGTTAAGCCATTTAGGGACCTGAGTTCATGGCTAATAGCATTCCAAGGTGGGAACTAAGTATAGAAGAGGGTCTTAGCTCTGGCCAAGGTATAAAAGGATAGAAATATATATA